TTTATATTATTAAAGGGACACTCCAGGCCCCACAATACACACGCTAGATGCAAATTTCGTGTAGGTTAGATTACTGTTAGTTATATTGGGTGGGTTTATATTATTAAAGGGACACTCCAGGCTCCCACACACGTTGGATGCACTGTGTTAGTTAGGTTACAGTTAGTTATACTGGGTGGGTTTATATTATTAAAGGGACACTCCAGGCTCCCACACACGTTAGATGCACTGTGTAGGTTAGGTTACAGCTAGTTATACTGGGTGGGTTTATATTATTAAAGGGACACTCCAGGCTCCCACACACGTTAGATGCACCGTGTAGGTTAGGTTACAGTTAGTTATACTGGGTGGGTTTATATTATTAAAGGGACACTCCAGGCTCCCACACACGTTAGATGCACCGTGTAGGTTAGGTTACAGTTAGTTATACTGGGTGGGTTTATATTATTAAAGGGACACTCCAGGCTCCCACACACGTTAGATGCACTGTGTAGGTTAGGTTACAGTTAGTTATACTGGGTGTGGCTTGGTATTATTAAAGGGACACTCTTGTGGCCCCTGGGTACACACGCTAGATGTACCCTGTGGTGGGTTAGGTTACAGTTAGTTATGTACTGGGTGGGTTTTATATTATTAAAGGGACACTCAGGCTCCCACACACGTTAGATGCACTGTGTAGGTTAGGTTACAGTTAGTTATACTGGGTGGGTTTATATTATTAAAGGGACACTCCAGGCTCCCACACACACATTAGATGCACTGTGTAGGTTAGGTTACAGTTATACTGGGTGGGTTTATATTATTAAAGGGACACTCCAGGCTCCCACACACGTTAGATGCACTATGTTAGGTTAGAGTTACAGTTAGTTATACTGGGTGGGGTTTATATTATTAAAGGGACACTCCAGGCTCCCAGACACGTTAGATGCACTGTGTAGGTTAGGTTACAGTTAGTTATACTGGGTGGGGGGTTTATATTATTAAAGGGTCACTCCAGGCTCCCACACACGTTAGATGCACTATATATATATATTTGAGGGGGGGGGGAGTTGTTCTTCCGAGATAGGTATTTTTACTTCACCAATTCCCTTGTGCACAGTGAATATTTTTTATTTATTCAGTTTAGAGGCTTATTCAGAAAACTGCAAATATTTGGGAATTAACCTGGGGTTGCATATTTTTGTGCAAAGACAAGTTCATTTTGATTCCAACTCAGAGCTTTGGCCAAAAATGGCAAATTCTCTGGTGACTTCCCAGCAATTCATTTTTACTGAGTAATTTTTCTAAAGCCATGATTTCCCAGACAGATTCCGCGTGCTCTCAGATACACGTATGGTGCTGGCCAGCAATATGCAGGAATAACATGCAGACAGAGCAAGATCAATTAATTCATTACACCAAGAGTTCTGATTAATTCATTGATTTGCTGTTGTAGCATATCAGCCCGTAATACTATCTATTTACCACAAAAAAACAATGATCTATCATTGGATGGGAGTTATTCACCAAAAAAGTGAATTGGAAAACAAAATGCAACATTCAGGGGATTATTCACTGAATTATGAATTGCTGAACATTACAATCAGAGTGGCAAATGTAGACTAAAAAAAGGCTAAAAACATTTGGAAAAATTCCCCAAACTCGATTTCAGTCATAGCTTGACTATTTTA